CCCCCCCCCCCCCCCCCTCCTATCCGATATGCACTCTCGCCTGGCGCTGTGTGTCGCTTATACCCGTCCTTTTTCTGGCGCTGTGACAGTCGGCGGTTTTGAGCGCCGGGCTGTTCGCTGCTTCTGGCGCCGCGTACGCCGTCACCGAGCAGCCGGTGTGGGTTTTGGTGGCCGCTCTGGCCTTGCTGCCTCTCACGCTTCCGGAGCTCGGCTCGCTGCAGGCCGCAGGTAAGCAAGACAAGCACGCCGGCAGGTCAAGTACGCTATTACCGCGGCGAGAGCAGCAAAGAAATTATTTTTGTCTGGAATCTCGCGCGCATGATTGAAAGCTGGTTTTTCTAGAGCCGGCCATATTTTCGTCGGCCGTCTCAGTGGATGTTGTTTTTGAGAGCATTTTTTCTTTTCCGTATGTGTGTGCGGAGGCATTTGGTGTCGGGTCCCCCTCTACTCACGGAGAGGAAGAAGCTGGGTGCCAGTAACGTGTCTTATCGCACACCGAACGCTGACACTTGTTCGCTCCGTTTGAACAAGCTATTTGCCCGTGTTTGATGTCCTTCGTTCCTGCTGCTGTACACCAAAACCTCCCAGTGTCAGGCAAGCCGGATGCCAAGGCGGCGGCGTCGGACTACGTTCTCGTTCCCTTCGTCGACAGCATGAACCACGTCACCAGCGCAAAGACGGAGCTGTCCTTCAGTCCCGTATCGGGCGACCTGGGCGTCTCTGTCAACAGGTGTGGTTTGAACNCAGGCTCTCACATCACCAAGCGCGAAGCGCCGTGAGATATTCGGCGAGTCGCATGAAGGGTGCGCTGCATCCTGCTAAGGGTGTTCGGCATCTTGTGCTTACTTCCTTGCGTACGGATGACAGCTGCGTATGACTGAATTTATTTTCTGGTGCTTTCACTTCCAGAGGAGCGAGAGGGGGGTACCAGACGCGTCGCAGTCACGGACAGCCCGTGTTGTGTCTTCTTCCCAGCTTGCTCCAAGCTTGAGCCCAGCGGAGAGGGGGGAGGGAAATCCGTGTGCGCGGTGTTCTTGGCGCGCGTGTTCAACGTTTGTTGAGGACAAGGACAGGCGTGACATTATGACGAGAACCCGACAAATTCGCAGAGTTCTTGTTCAGCCGGGAGATACCATGTTGTCAACCTCATGTCCTTGCTCGGAGAAAGCCCTTGTCCTACCCCCTCTGGTTTGCTGTGTCCTGCCATCGCTCGGAAAGCTAACCCGACCGGAGCCTTCAGCTGACCCTTCGACTTTCGCAAACCCAGGCCGCATTTGTTGTACTCTCACATGATTTTATGATTTGTACCCTCACATGGTCTCCTTGTTTGAACCCTCGTCGGGCAAGTTGGGCCGACCGCTGCTGGCCACCTGCTTTACGCGCTTCCGTGACGCTCCTTCCCATCCGCCCGAACCCCCTTGCCTCTTTCCTCCTCCCTCTGATGTATGCCTCGGCACTGCTGTGACATGGCGTACTTAGAGGCTACCGCGAGGGGGAGCAAGCGTACATTTCTTACGGGCTGAAGAGCAACGACGAGTTACTCCAGTTCTACGGCTTCGTGGAGGCAGACTGTCCGGCGGACACCTACGTGTTGGTGAGGTTGCAGCCGCGCCTGTGTGTGTGTGTGTTTTGTGTGTGTGTGTGTGTGCGTGTGCTGTGTGTAGTTTGTGCTCGCTTTTCGGGGGCTGGGCTTAGGGGGCGTGGATGGAATATTTGGTAGGTGGGCGGGCACGCATTTGTCGCGGCGAGAAACTTAGCGGAATTTTCCCCCCTTCCTTCTCTTATGTTCCCTACCCTCGAAGGACGACGTCGCGAAAAGCCTGGGCGTGCCTGGTGCTAAGGGTGGCGCGCCCACGAAAGAAGTCGTCATCCGAAGAGGTGAGCATAATTACTCTAACGGCGTGGTGAACATCAACGCGTACCGGTGGTGATGAGCGTGTGAGCTCCAAAAGAAGTGCCTCGCCCGGGCGTGGGGGCGGGGGGGGAGGCGGCGGGGTTCATGTGCGTACCCTGTACCGCGAAATTTCACGACGCGCCATCTCATTGGGCACCTTGTGCGACCACGTGCGAGGTTTTGGAAACGACCTACCTTGAGAATCATCATCATCAACAACATTAACAACAACACGCGCGCACGTTTGAGCTTCAAAAACGCTTTCAATCACTTATTAGGGGTAGCACCTTGCACGGCATTCGGGGACGCACCCGGAGCCAAACACCACCGCTCGGGAGGGTTGTACGGTGTACGCTTGCGAATGAGCGGGGTAGGTAGGGCTAAGGTTCGGCGGCGAGTGGCCGAACGAACGACCGGGTATTCCTCTCTCCCTGGCGGCCCGCTCCGAGCTCCGCCCTTTCGACGCACTAGAGGCAACGCTTGCCAGGAAGGCGAGGTGCAATTGTAATTGTATTTGGTGTTGCGGGGGGGTTGTTCTCTAAGCGAGCGGGGTCGACCTCCCTTTTTCTGTCCGGCCGAAGCTCAGCCTCTCTCTCCCGCTGGTTGTTGCATACAAGGCATGCGTGCAGCCAAGCATCCGTGTATCTGGATATATCCCGAGACGAAGATGTCAATGTTGACCGTGCCCCCCCC